ATTCTTCTTATACCTGCATGCAAAGTCTCAGCCCGATCGGTTTAAAATTTCATACAAACTTTCATTCCCTATTTTATCCTCTTGGGGGTGGAATTGATCAAAATCCTTTCTTAGCGGATGCCTACGTCATAACATCTACCTGCATGCCAAATTTCAGCCCGATCCGTCCAGTGGCTGTGCGTTGATAGATCACTATGGCAGTCAGTCACCTTTGAGTTTTATATATATAGATATTTGTTACGTCACCGTAAACTGACGATATGAGATGTTGTTGGGATTGCACTATACAAGATAATTCAGGCGTCAGAATAAGTTTTCCTTGGTGTAGCAGTGGATAGGTACCTTCACCAATCCTTAATAATATATCAGAAAATTCACGATCAAGAGCTCTATTTTTGAATCACTCGTCTTGCGTCGAACGCTCGATTTCTACTAAATTTCATTCGACATAATTAATTCCGTATTTTTGAATCGCTCGAGTGCAACGAATAGGTGAGACCACTCGCTGCATGGCGAATGGTGGAGGCGAATGATAGAATAATTGTCAAATTTTTGTGCTATTAGACGACGATAATTTATCATTGTCATGCTTTATATGAAAGCAAAACAAGTTTTTTTTTAAAGAGCTTTTATTTTTTCTGCGTGAAATGAGTAAAATTTCATATTTCGTAATAAACAGGTAACACCGGTGACGAATGATTCAAAAATACGGAAAATCAGTATTGTGCGACTTGAAAGTCGAAGGTGACTTATGTCGCATTCGACGATACTATGTCAGACGAGTGATTCAAAAATAGGGCTCCAGATCTCCAGTTCTCACTCGCATGTTTACAGTCAAATGCACCGATTGTATATCACGCCACAAATAAGAGCTTTTCAGGCAAACCCTAACCTCATCAGCTCGGGTTCCCCGTGGTATTACCGGTAAGGTTTGTCGGAAATAACCACAAAATAAAACTGTGATACCGCCCATTGCTCGATCATTTTGTCTTATCTGTGATTCATGTATTCTTATTTCATGTATAAGTTTGGTATTTCTATACCGATTTCTATGATTCTTTTTTTAATGAATAGGTAATAATGTTAACGTTTTTAAATTAGGGATGAGTGAGAGTATTATAAACGAAAGAGTAAACAAATATAATCAGAATGCTCCGAACTGCTAAGCTATCAGGAGTTACACGTGTTATTGTAAGTCAACCATAAAAGATAGACATATGCTGTTGCGGGATATTTTTTAGAAAATTTTATGTAGAATATTTCCGTCATACATAATTTCTGTGTAACTTTAACCATTAAGGCTGCGCACTGCGGCTGAAGCTTAAAAAATGGAGTAACTTCTCCCGTTTTCCCAACATTTCCCTTCATTACTCTGCTGCTATTGTAGCGTGATGAAAAGTATACTATAACCTGCCCAGGAGTATGAAGAATAATTGTACCAAGTTTCGTTAAAATCCGTTGAGTAGTTTTTGTTTCTATAAGGAACATACACACAGACAGACAGACAAAAAATTTACTGATTGCATTTTTGGCATCAGTATTGATCACTAATCACCCCCTGATAGTTATTTTGAAAATATATTTCATGTACAGAATTGACCCCTCTACAGATTTATTATAATATTCTAAGATAAGCACGGTTTCTTAATATCAATTATTGTCTGTCAATAAGGTCGAACGCTCTGAACGCATCAACAGCCAAATATTGAATGAAGCTCCCTTTCTTTTTTTTTGTTTCCTCCCAGGCGGGCGAGCGGGTCATCGGGAATCCTCATGGATACCCTACAGCCGGCTGTAGGGTTATGTCAGACTCTTACTGACTAAAACACACCCGTGGGGGATGCCTATGGCCTTAGGGGCCATACAGGCTTCATCTGATGCGATCAACCCCCGTGAAGGGGATGATGCAGCGCTGCCTTAGTAAATACTACTGCATAGCGCGCTTAGAGGACGGATGCACTCTGATGTGCATCCGTATCGGTTTAGGACAGAGCGACTGAAGGTCTCTCAGGATCAGGGGGGCGGGGAAGCTCGCTTTCGGACCTCCTGCCTTTTTATACCCTACCGCCGCCGCGACATTAAACTTACATTAAACTTTTTACAATAGTCAATTTCAGATGTGCATTAATATATATTTTTTTAAGTTATTGTACATCTTAGTGTTTTTATTTGTTTTGTTACCTTAAGTCATGGTGGGCGATAACAGAGTCATGTTATTAAGTTAAATATTTGTAAGGACAAATCTCAGTTTGTCCTTGGTGGGCGATTATGTATACGCCATTTGTGCATTTAAAATTTTGGTTCATATGTATCAAAATAGATGGCGCTGTAGTTCGTTGCATCACGCTTGTAAATATGTTTGGAGCTACATATAGGCAAAACGTCACCTAACTAATAAAGAAATCTATATTCTAATAGGGATGTCGAAAGTTGCAAAAAATATCGATATATCGATACATCGTTATTTTAAAAAATATCAATATCGGCTTCGATATATTGCGAAAAAAACATCGATATATCAATATATCAGACCAATTTTCTCAAAAATATATTTAGGTTAGCCTAGCACAGTAATAATAACAATACAAATTATAATTAATATACAATATCTCACGAAAGATGACACGCGGAATAATAATGGTACGAAAATTATCTCCCTAAAAATAGACCCTATTTTCGAATGATGAAAATGATTGCAGGGCATCTCAGGTGCCATCTTTCGTGAACAAAACTAGACAGTCACAAACTTCCACAGAATATAATGGAATTCAGCACAACCAATTCACCAGCGAAACAGATTTACAAATCATAGACAATACTAAATACAGAACAGATCATAGATATATTGAATATCATTAATCTGAGCTCCGTTTAAGATTTTTCCAGATACGACTTTAGTTAGATCGTGATATACCGCTAATAATTAAAAAAAAATCGTTTTTGATACGAATTTCGATATTGGTTATTTTGTATCGATGTATCGATATATCGAATCAAAATATATCGGCTAAAAATATCGATATATCGAACAAAAAATATCGATATATCTTCAACAACCCTATAGTCTAACAAAATACACTGTAGTTTCAATTTAATTCTTTTGCACCTAAGCTCTTGGAATTAAGAGTCATTTTGGCTCGAACAGGATGCGCACCAAAAACGTAACGAGGTCATACATCGATAGATTTAACTCCTCACATTTTTCTCATACCGGGCCCCTTATCATCTTATCGGGCACCCACCTTATCGGGCAAATCGATTCTTAAGGAGTAAACTCCAAAAAAACTCATATAAACACATGTCACCGCACTTTTGCAGACGTTTCTGTCGCGTCCCGTCACAGTCGCTGTATCAGTGCGGCCTCGGACTAAAGTGGTGTACACATTAAGCGTTTTATAACGCGCGTGTTAGATAATATACACATAAGGTCATTAACAAGCTAAAAACAAAACATCAAGGCGGCTATATAATTATTGTACACTTAAAAATGGTTGATTCAGTGATGTTATTGCTGCTTCAATACTCGTACTTGATTTTTGTAATGTAGGTTTTATATAAAATACTGTGAAAATCTATTGCTAGCACTAAATTACATAATTTAATAGAATATTTCATAAATTGCGGGTAGTCAGCGAAATCTTTGTACACGTGTTCTGAACGGCCCGATGACGTTAGTTGTTTGTCGCTGCCTTTAAAAGGCCGAGTTTCAACCTTTGCGGGGCGATTCTGTATCGAGCCATCGGACCGAGCGGAGCTCTGAGTTAAGTAATCATTTTCATATTGTTGTTTATAACTTTTATCGGAATTATATTTGTATAATATTGTAAGTCATAATCTAATAAGGAAATTTATTTAGATTAATAAAATGTATGAGTTTACAATTACAAAAAGCTTAAAACTACCTAATATCTAAAAATAATATACAATAATATATCTTTGCCATTTACAATAGAAATTACTTCTATAATCTTAAAAATTAAAATAAGAGATTATTTGCGAGTAAAGATTTTATACTTTGTTTTGGTATTTTAATTTTAATAATCAATCAATAGTGTACTTTAAACATTTAATAATTTTGAAAGTAGTGATTTCCCTTATAAAATAAAGAAATCTGAATCTATTGAATAGTTTTATTTCCATTCCATTTGCTTTTATTGCTTTATATAAGTTTCAAAGTGTTTATAAAATTAATTATTAATGCCAATGCTAACACGCGCTTTGCTAACGCGCCTTTCGAGAACCAGGAGTTCTATTGAAGTGTACACATGCAAGCGCGCGATTCTAGTCAAGCGTGCGTCAAACGCGCGTTCTCATATTTTACGTATGATCGCGCGTTGCGCGGGTGTTAGCTAAGCGCTTCGAGATACTTGGGCCGCCATTTTGTTGTACATTTGATCGCGCGCTTTGGTGTAGTGTAGACGTCAGTTCAACGGAAAAATGGATACCGAATTGACACAGATTTCTTTATTGATGAAATCCAAAAGCGACCAGCTATTTGGGACATGAAATGTCCCGATTATAAAAAAAATAAGACGCTAAAAAGACGTAAAATAAAAAAAAATACGCCGTCTTTTATAGCGACGGTAGAGGAGCCACACACAAGTAATCACTTGGGCATCCATTTTCGGACTGCCAGAAACACACCCTACTAAACGCTCGCCGAACGCAAAGCCGAGCGCGGCGTGTGTATGCAATCAACGCGCGCTCAACGCAACGCCGAGCGCCCAATGTATCAGATGATAGGCGTTTAACGCGCGTTTTGCACTAACGCACGTTGTGCGAGTCCAACAAAAACGCGCGTTAGCATCTGAACGATGTATTTGTTAACGCGCGTTAATAAAACGCGCGTTAAACGCGTATCATCTGAACATACCCTTAGTTTATGAAATTACCAGGTATGTCGCCAAACAATTTCCAATATCTACTGCATGGGTGAAGGATTTAAGAGTTTTTGGAAGTTAGTGTAAATTCGAAATAATCAAGGTAATTGACGTTTCTAGGTCTCAAACTAACACAGATGCTGTCGGGGTCAATCCTGATCCTGCATTATCTCGGTCTCATCATGCAGGATGGTAAAATCGACATGAAACTCACTACGGCGTTCACTATATTCGGTGGAGTTCGAATTATATCGGGTAACTTATATTTAATTAAAACAATATTTTTATCATTATCCTTAGATTACTTCTTAATGTCAAATAATATTCAATGGGGTGTATTATGAGCAGCCTCTAATGAAAGCAGCCTCTCGCGTGATGAAATCTCAGATGTAACAGCTTGCATAGAACCAAGAGCCCAATACTTCTTTACGATTTTTCACAAACCATCCTGCAAATTTGATTATTTTAGCATAGAACATATCAAACCTTGCTGTTTTTTGCATTTTTCAGGCTTTGTATCCACGATTCTATCTTAGGAATGCCTTCTTTCAAGATCTCCGACACGCACAGTAACTCTTGAAAGGTCCACAAACCTACTAACTACCTGATAGATCTAGAGAATTGTCATTCACATCACAGTTATGCTGGCGTATACTGGTGTCCAGGAGGACCCTGGACACCAGCCCACAAGACCTTCACACTATCGCAAACCTCTTGAGTATCTCTCCCCTTCCGCTTAATCTCAGCCACACATAAAGCATCCAATCATCTCACATTCAAAAGATCGGTCTTTCCATTCATCTTATCTTGCACCTCTTACATTCCACGTGCCTATAGGGCACTCTGCCCTCAATCCAGCTCAAGCTAATTATATTAGTGAGAAAAATAACTTCTATAATAATAACTTCTTAGTTTAATAGGGATAAGGCGTAACGAATTTTCCACTTACTTTTGGCGATGAGGTTCCAGGACTTCACGGGCTACCCTTACTTTCACTACTTATATCCCCATATGGTTAGGTAAAGCAACGCGCAAGTTATGCTCTGGTATTCCAAAAGTTTTAATGATATAGTTTGTTTTCAATTAATATTTATTTCCATTTACAGGAATCGTATCATCATTGCTCGCTGATCGAGTGGGTCGTCGGTCACTTCTCATTATGTCTTACCTGGGTACAGGATGTGCTCTCGCCCTCACAGCAGCATACTTCTACGTTTTCGAGGTCTTGAAGATGGATCAGGATGTCATCACTCCTTACGGCCAAGTCGCATTTATCGGAATAATCCTGGCAGTTATCCTCTCAACGATTGGCTTCAACTCTTTGATATACGTGATACCAGCTGAAATGTTCCCTATGAATGTTAAGTCAGTAGCTATGACCGCACTAAACGTTTTCGGAGGACTATCCAATTTTGCTATAATAAAGTTGTTCTTGGAATTACTGCATCTATTCGGACTTTTTGGAGTTTTCACAATGTTCGCCACAATCAGTCTCGTTGGATGTGTGTTCTCCATCTGTCTGGTGCCAGAAACAAAGGGCAAAAGCCTAAGAGAAATTTTAGTAGCGCTACAAGGCACCGCGTATGACGAGGCAGCTGAAAATTTGAATAAAGTAACTACAATTGGAATGAGTATAAATGAAAATAACGAATTAATGGAACTTAAAAATACAGAACAGAATTAGGATTAGAATTTGTTTGGGCGTTGGTGTAACTTATTAGAATACTCAGTTTTACTTACAATAGGTAGAGATAGTCGTAAGTAATTTAATTCAAAACAATAATGTAAAATTTCATAGGATAAATGGTCTCATCGTTTGTTCAATATAAAAAAAATGTATATCTATTTTGTTTTACTTTAATCCTTGTTTATAAGTTATGAAACTCCACCACGTAAAACTAGTTAGGGTATCAGAGCATTAAAAGTCTACAATCCTATAGGCCAGTACATCCCATAATCTTCGCGTGGGCTCCCCTACTAAAAGTCAAGCAGTTTTATTCTTAAAATACAAATTATAATATATGCTATCCATAACTTTACTATTTGCACATGCAGAGATTGTGACGGGCAACTACGGAACCGTGTGGCCTCGACACGAACTTGTTATAAAACAGTATCAATACTGTGATATGTACCTATAGTTTTTCATAAATATCAAAATACGAGTGAACATAATTGGCATATTTTTACTCAGTTTTGTGGAAGGGGACGATAACGTGAACTATAATAATGTGAACTTGATAGTGTTGTGCATTTAGTTGTGTGAAAAATGTCGCAGGGAAACAGAAAAGTGCAATACTTGGTGACAATTGCCGGTGAGTCTTTAAATAGAAATCCATACTTAGATTCTAAATGAAAAAGTGTGTCTGTCTGTCTGTTACCTCTGCACGCTTAAACCACAGAACCGATTTAGCTGAAATTTGGCATAGGTAGAGTTTGAGGCTCGGGAAAGATCATGGAATAGTTTTTAACCCAGAATCCTTTAAGAGGGTGTAAGGGATGTGGAAGTTTGTATGGGAAATCAATGAAACCAGGCCGGTGAAGACGCGGAACCCAGTACTTGTGAATAAATAACGCAACTAAAGGACCAATCAAAAATGTAAACTGAAGTTATTCAAGTTCAGTGTTTAATAATATGTGACTACATAACAATAAATGTTTAAAATTTAATGCATAATATAAAAACGAAAATATTTAAATGTTCCCCAAAAAATAATAAACGATCACCTATAAATACAACTGGTAGATAACCTAAAGGTTAGGTTAGATTAGGTTTGGTGATGCAGCGAGGGAGGTCGTATGAATAAGTGCGGATTTAATTAATCTTTGTGCAACTGGGTGATATTATCTGATTACAGTATGTCTGGCTTCTGTTACCGTTGGAGTTCTAAATTGGACACCCTGGTTGATCTATGATAAGATTGGCAATTATAATCCACATGTGAGTAATAGAATAAGAGGTAAAGAATAGAATAAGTTGATTCTATTCTTTCCTACCCTTTTATTGGAAAATCCACTGCGGAAATAAGATAGGTATACTTTAGATAGCACTTTCTCAATAATATCAGGATTTCTCGGACTACGCTGTAGCTTAAGGTATTTTTAATCAATAAGGGTCGGACATTATACTAGTTTCAGTGACAGCAACATAACTGACTATTCAATTCCTGAAAAACGTTTTCTTTTTCGTAAGTTGTTCGTGCTGTACCCTAATATAGAAAGAAAGAGATCTGACGACAGCATAGCAAGCTGTGCTTTTCATTTTCTGGAACAACGATTAGTATTAAATATACACTGGTGATTATACAGGATTACAGGAAAAGTCGACGTACATATTTAAGGATATTATTATTTAGCCTTTAAGTGCATGAATTTTTAAAATTATAAAAAAATATAGCTATGTAAAATATAAAAAAAAAACATGGTTTTTAAAGTTTTTTTTATATAAAAAATTGTTGTTATCAATTTTCATAATGCATTTAAGTGCACGAAAAGAATGGAAATTGAATAAAAATTGTTACACATGAAAAACTTGAAAACAGTTGTTTTTGCGATTGTCACACAGTGATACTTTACACTTGACACACATAACAGATCAGTTTTTTTGCATTCAAATTATTTGAATGCAAAAAAACTCACTCTCACGCAAACTCGGAGTCCTAAACAAGGTGCGGCGTTTTTTTACGCCCGAGCAACTATGCTTGTTACAAGACCGTGACAAGCATAGTTGCTCGGAATATTGCTCGCACCTCTGGGATGGCTCCGCCAAGTACTTGCTCGATGCTTTGGATAGGTTACAGCGGAGCGCAATACGCATCATAGGCGATGAGGAGGTAAACACCTCGAGCCTCTTCAATTACGCCGTGACGTGGCGTCACTAAGCGCGTTCTATCGTCTGTGCCACGGCGAGTGTTCTGAGAAGTTATTCTCTCTTATTCCACCTTCCCCTTTCCTTCAGAGGACCACGCGCGCTGGCTTACGTTGTCACCGTCTAACTGCGGCTACAATTCCAACGCGTACAAAGAAATTTGGTGACTCATTTCTTTGTCGTACTATCCGTAAATGGAATGCTCTGCCCTCTCACGTGTTCCCTCCCTCTTACAACCTGGGATCCTTTAAAAGAGGCGTGAAGAAGCAACATGCAGGCCGGCAGGGTGAGGATGGCTGGTGTGGCAGGTAGAACTGCTATACAGCTGATACCAGCTATCTTTGCGTCTGGACTTCACCTTTACTTAACATCAGGTGGGATGGAGTCATTTGTCGGAACTATCTATAAATAAAGAGAAAAAAAAAATACACTGATTCCTTATACCATCATACCGGACGCAGTTCGTTATGTTGACGAAGTTAACGATTACGAAACTTTTATGTAATATTCGACATAAAAGTTTTGTAATCGTTAACTTGAAACTGCGCCCGGAAATTTCCAATTTCAACCAATCACGAGCGAGCCGATTGTTTTCTTTTTTTTAAAGCGGAAGTATGATAGACTTAGGAACGTTTAGAAACTTTAAGGTTACATAAATATCATACGTTCGAAAATTATGAACAGTGGAAAAGATATATTATCATTTTTTATAAACTTTGCACCTAAGGGTCATTACTGATGTAGGTCTGGGTCGTAAAATGTGGATAACGAAGAAGTACACGAGTTGTAATTGATAAAAGCAATTAAAATAATTATGTTTTTATTTCATAAAATGACATTCTGTTTATTTTTTACATTTAGTATTTGTGGTCTGGAACCACTTTCTTCATTATTTCGGCGTTGATTTGCCTACCTACGTACTTTACTTGGAAATTTTATACCGTTTTGAATAGCTAAAAACCTGTGTTAGTTATTATTTTAACCAGGTCCATACAACTTTTTTTTAATTACCCTATCAAGGTTGTCTGGAACAGAATGCTCTTAGCGATTTTTACACTGTATCCAGCTATTATGTACAATGTTTCATATTTTTTGTGGTGTAAACTAAAGAGTTTTTAATAGTCATTTATTTTTGAAAATTTATGTACCTATGGTAAGCTCAAGTTTGTTGCAACACCCAACGGACTCATGTACCCCCTCACTATTAACATTGTCAGATGTTATAATAAAAAAATGTACATGTGCAATGTGAAATAAATACATAGAAACCACTTACCTTTTGTTATTGAAATAGTAAACAGATTGGCTAAAAATAAGCTACCAAAATCATTAATTCCACACAGGCGGAGTCGCGGGCAAAAGCTAGTGTTCGCATATGCTAAAGAATGCAGTAGGACTTGACTCGCGAGAGTGAAGAACCGTTATCTTACATACATCTATAGGTAGAAACAAACGAAGCAAACTTATATTCATATCGGTGTTGTATCAATACACTAGTTACCTATGTACTTGAGTTAATAAATAATAACAAGTTGAGTATGACTCGGAGTATGTGCAATATCGTTCAAAACATTCCTCTAACTTTGATATCGATTTGACACGACCTTTGCTTATTATGAAAAAAAAAAACATAATACATTTAATAGAGCTATATGCATCATAAAAAGCTGTTTTTTTTGGGGCACGGTACTGCTACTGCCAAGTCGACAAGACGAACCAAACGAAGCGCAAGGGCACCTACACGTGTCTATCAGAATACAGATTTTTTGATATCGATTTTCATTTTGCCGAAAACTATTCCACAATTTTTAATATTTTTTTTTATCAATTCATAGAATTTTTAATCGCCGCTGTTTTATATCATCGAAAAACGTTGCTTAAAAAAATCTTTTAAAGTTGTTTTGATTACTAGAAAAACGGTATATCGAACTTACATTTCATAAAGCTATTAAGCTATCGATAAAACTATTCGTATATGTATACGAATAGTTTTCTTTCTCGATAACTTAATAGCCCACAGTACTTTTACACATAACAACTTTTTATCACAGTAACGTTTCATCGAATGATGCATTCGCCTGTTGACGATAAATTGTGTTGCGATCAGTTCTATAATATTATTTTCCTACCCACTACAGCTTAATAATTATACTCGTAACCACATATTGCGTGTTGACAATATTACTTAAAATGTGTAACGAAATATTTTGTTGCCAGTTTTTTAAATCGAATTAAGGTGTTTTTAAACTGCATATTAACGGTTGTAAGCATGCAGAATGCAAGCAAGCATGCAACATGCATGGCTTCTGTCACGCCTCGCCCCTCCGCGCCTACGCCCTTTTAAATTGTACTCTCGGGTTAGGGCAGATAAGACTACGTGGAGACGGGGTAAAGTTACTCATTTTAAATACCTTTTTTTACTCTAAAAAGACATCATGAAATCGTATTTTCGATGTACATTGATTTTTTGAAGTAAAAATTGATGTTTCCATTATTTTGCAAACTGAAACTTATGATGAAATAAAAATATGGGTAACAAAACTTCGATGTAACATTATTTCGATAAGATGTATATGTTACCGGCCAAACCCGTTTTCAGGACAAACTGGTTTCGCCTAGGCTAAACTAATTCTTCCTATGCGCGATAGGATTAACTAGTATAGCCTAGTCCAAACTAATTTATCCTAAGCCCGATAGGATAAACCAATTTAGCCTAGGCCAAACTAGTTGATCCTGATATAAATACGCACGCTCTAGGATAAACCAGTAAGGCCTAGTCTAAACCAATTTAGCAGAGTCGAAAGTAATTGACCAAATATGACAGGAATTGGTCGCGTCATGTAAAAAGAACGCTTTAAGAAAGTGGAGGGAGTGTGTTTGCGCA